CCTCCTCCTCCTCCTCCTCCTCCTCCTCCTCCCCTTCCTCCTCCTTCCTCTCCGTTCCTTGCCCCCTGCCTCTTCCAGGACGGCCCAGGGCCCTCGACGAGCTCCCAGAGGACGACCCCGATGCCTTCGTGCCCCTGGCGAATGGCAGCGGGGACGCGGCGCCGGCGCCGGCGGCGGCCGAGGGCCAGGCGGGGGGGGGTTAGGAGCGAAAGAAGGACGTACAAGTAAAGTCGGGTCGATATATATATATATATATATATATATACATATATAGATATATATATATATATATATGTGATCGAGGTCGTTTCGGGGAGGGTGTCCTAGTCTGTAGTATTCGTGTTTGTTGTATGTTCTTGTGCATCCTGGGGGAAGGTTCCCTTGCATGTTCTGTTTGTTTTGCCTGACGGATGGTCTCATGTTCTTGAGGGATGTTCTTATGGCCTCGGGCCGACTGCACATGAATCCGCGTTGGTGTCGAGAGTACGAATTGCGCGAACGTGCGTGTCACGCGGCTAGTCTCGCAGACCGGGGGGCGGCGCGTGTTCGTGTGCGCGGTTGAGCGCGTACGTCCTTTGTGGGCTCCCGGGGGGAGGGGGAGGGGGCGCCCGAGGGCCAGACCTTAGGGCGGGGCCAGGACGAAGCGAAATCCGTTACAGAGAGTGCCTGAACGCTTTCAGAGCGTCCCGGAGCGCTCAGACGAGGCCGCGGCGCCGAGGCATCTTCCTCGTCCTCCTCCTCCTCCTCCATGTTTCCTCCTGGATAACTCTTCCCTGTCGCACCTCCAGGCCAGTCGAAAAGACGGGCTGGGCGTTTCGCCTGAGATGTTCTCACCATGCACGACCATGATGCTGTAATATGAAAAAGCGGCAACAGCTTCACAGATGGAGGGCGGGTGGTTCTCAGTCTGGCTCTCGCTTCAGCGACGCGCGCGTTGTTCATTTGTAAAGTTAAGTGCTTCACGGATTGAGGGCGGGTGGTTTTTTCAAAATGTGGTTCTCGCCTCGGTGCCGCGCATAGTTGATCAACCAACAACTGCAGGAGCTTCACGGATTGAGGGCGGTTCTTTCCCGAAGTGTGGTTCTTGCTTTAGCGTTGCGCACATTCGCTTCAAACGTTTGCAAGAGTTTCAATGGATCTCATGGTTCACGTACCAGAGATGGTGGTTTGGAACGAGTCAGGATTGTCAGGGCGGAGTTGCTCCTTCCTCCTCCTCGTCCTCAGCTTCCAGAGGACGACCCCGATCCCCTCGTGCCCCTGGCGAACGGCAGCGGGGACGCGGCGCCGGCGCCGGCGGCGGCCGAGGGCCAGGCGGGGGGGGGGGTAGGAGCGAAAGAAGGACGTACAAGTAAAGTCGGGCCGAGATATATGATCGAGGTCGTTTCGGGGAGGGTGCTTTAGTGTTCGTAGTGTTGGTTTGTGTTTGTTGGAGGGTACCCCTGGGTGTTCTGTTGGAGGAGCAGGAAGGGATGATGAGGAGAAGGAGGAGGAAGGGGAGAGAGGAGGAGGACGGAAAGGAGGAGGAGGAGGAGGAGCAGGAGGAGGAGGAAGGGGAGGAGAAGGGGGGGCAGAGGAGGAGGAGGATGAGGAGGAGGAGGTGGAGGAGGAGGAGGGGGTAGGCAGAGGAGGAGGAGGAGGAGGAGGAGGACGAGGTGGGAGGCGGATGAGGAGGAGGAGGTGGAGGAGGAGGAGGAGGAGGAGGAGGTGAGACAACGGATAATGCAGGGGGAACAGATGAGGCAACGTGGAATGCGGAAGAGAGAGGTCGGAGGGATGACGGAGGAATGATGATGATGATGATGATGATGATGATGATGATGATGATGATGATGATGATGATGATGATGATGATGATGATGATGCTGATGCTGATGCTGATGCTGATGCTGATGATGATGATGATGATGATGATGATGATGATGATGATGATGATGATGATGATGATGATGATGATGATGATGATGATGATGATGATGATGATGATGATGATGATGATGATGATGATGAGGATGAGGAGGAGGAGGAGGAGGAGGAGGAGGAGGAGGTGGGAGTAGGAGGAGGAAATGGAGAAGGAGAAGGAGCAGGGGGAGGAGGAGGTGGGATGATGATCATTGTATGAGTGACTTGCAGGACATTCTCAGGACACATGCTCATGCGCCAGCAAGGGGGGCACAGCTGCCGTCACCTGATGATCCTGTTGACCTCAGGAATGTCAGCACTACGACAACGTAACTGATAGCTTCGCTCATTCCGCGAGCCCAATCTTGCATTGCTGTTGTTGCCTGTTGGTGTGCTCGCGGCGAGCGAGAATTTGAAGGAGGAGAAGGATAGGATGAGGCTGATCTAGTGGCCATGCTGCATGCTGGCCACTACTAATACTACTATGATATTGATGTTGGTGATGATATCGCTGTGGATGCTGATGATGACGAGGATGATGAGGACGGGGAGGAAGATGATGAGGAGAGGGAGGAGGAGGAGGAGGAGGAGGAGGAGGAGGAGGAGGAGCCTCAGCCATTTTGTCGCATTTCGTTTTGGCTCAAGCTTGAATCCCTTGTTGCGGGTGCTCGAGTATGGAGGTGTCCGCCTCTGTGCGACACTTACCACGGGGACTCCAAACCTTCCGTTCTGGCCTCCAGTGTGCCGCTGGGGGCACGACCCGTGCATGTGGACGTAATGCGCAGTAAGATGCAGGTGTCGTCTGCCCATCCTGCGGATGCAGGAAGAATCCGTCGCCTTTCCATTTCTGTTGCCATTGTCGCGGGCCTCTTCCTAAGCTTCGTCACCCTTCGCCCATCACAGACCCCTGAGTGCAGTTGGGACAAAGCAGCCATGAAGTGATGGTGGCAAGGAAGGTGGGGGAAAGGGTGGCTACGGCAACGCCAAGGGAAATTGAGGAGGTGCAAGTGTGTATGGCGATGTTTTGCAGCCGCCTCAGCGCAGGATGTCCTGCCAGCCTCAGCAGTCAAAGGGTTCCATTGATGATCGCCACCGGCTTCGACAGCCGCGTGCACCGTAGGTATGCATATGTGTTGTTTCAAAGTGGATGCGAGGCCATTGCAAATGCGTAGGAGTAGTCGCGACAGGCCAAGAACGACCGGGTGCCCATTTCGAGGCTTGCGTGTCAAAGTCGGGCAGGAGGAGTCACGGCGCCTGAAGGCCATCCAGAAGATGGAAGGTAGGCATGCGGCAGCGGCGAGCCAGATCTCAGTGGCTCGAGGAGGGGGGGGGGCAGAACTTGAGGCGTCTACCTCGCCTGAGAGGATTTTTGCAGCCCTCCCCCCCAACCTCGAAGCCTGTCGTGCTCAGCGGCAGGGGTTTCAATCCATGTTGCCTGGTCTACATGCAGAGGTGGTCAAGGAAGAGCTGGAGGAGGAGCGCAGCCAAACTATGGGCGCCGTACTGTCCTCTTTTGACTTTCAGTCTACCCCAACCCAAGCTGCCGGGATACCAGTCCCCACTATGGAAGTGGACGAAGCAGATCTTGCAGATGCGTGTGGCGCGATTGAGGACATGTCTGAGCATTCCAGGCGTCAATTTCTTGAACCAGCCCTTGCAGCCAAAAGTAAACATGCTTTCGCTTTCCAGGTACAGGATGGCGTCCACTTGGCGCGGGGTCAGTTGTTCAAAGTGCGTCTGTCGCAGCCGCTCAGCTGTGGCACCCGCAGTACGCGTGGGAGTCAGCATGAGGATACTAGCGATGAGGTCAGCACCGTGCTGGAGGCTACAATTGGTCACGATGGGAGTGTTTTGCGTTGGTCGCTTCTACGGAAAACAAGGAGATGAAGCAGTAAGAGCAGAACGGGGGGCGAGAAGAACAGGGGTTACGACAAGTCATGCGGCCTTGCAGCCCAAGTGCGACGATAATCACACCCTGGAGTGCCCTGCCTCGTGGCTTATAACAAGATACGCAGCACCCTGCAGGTGCGGACATAGTGAGGGGGCGTGCGCGGGCTTGGTCGCAGGTGTGTCGCGGGCGAGTCGCGGGTGGGTCGCGGGGTCGCGGGTGGGCTGTCGGTGGGTCGCCCGTGGGTCGCCCGTGGGTCGCGCGTGGGTCGCGGCTGGGTCGCGGGGTGGGCAGCGGGTGGGTCGACGCGTGGGTCGACGCGTGGGCCGTTGTGGCGTGTCGCGGCCGGGTCGGTGCGGAGGCCTTCTTCGGCCACGCGCCCAGGGGCAGTGAAGGACCGTTCGGGCCCTTCTTTCTGATGATGTCGGGCGGATAAGTAGGAGGAGGAGGGAGGATGATGGAGGCAGGAGGGAGGAGGGGAGAGGCAGGAGGGAGGGGAGGGGGTCGAAGGGGGACGAGGGGGGGGGGAGCGTGGAATGAGAAAGAGAGGGACGGCATGGAGGATGGAGGTAAGAGGAACGAGGCTCCGACAAGAAAGAGGAACGAGGCTCCGACACGAGGAGGAGGAGGAGGAGGAGGAGGAGGAGGAGGAGGAGGAGGAGGATGAGAGGGAGGAGGACGAGGAGGACGAGGAGGACGAGGAGACGGAGGACCAGTGTAAACCCAAGATTCACCAACGGTGTAGCAATAGACCCTCCAAGTTTCCTCTCCATTGGGCCATGAAGAGTTCATTTCCATTGAAGGAACTACTGCCCCGTTGGAAGACAACTTTTTGAGAATCTGCGACTGCGCCAAGGCACCATTCCTCAGACTTCAACGCCGCGAATCATCGTTGCTTTTGTGTTTTGGCTATCTTGAATCGTGCCAGGACACCGTTCCTATGACTGCAACACCGCGAATCGATGTGATTGTTGCGCCCCGATGTTCCCATATCGTGTCAAAACACTCTTTTTGGGGACGTTCACCATCTGAATATTTGAAAGCGCTGCACTCTCTCAAGACGAATGTGGGCGGCGCCGGGGCGAGAGCCACATGTTGAAGAGGGGCCGCCCTCCATCCGTGAAATGACTGCAAGTCTTTTGGAAGAATGTGCGCGGCGCTGAGGCGAGAGCCCCTCGGCGGGGCCGAAACCAGCTGCATGCGGCAAATTTCGTAACCCCCCCTTTCCCAATCCCCCCCTTTCGTTCGGCCCGAGAGATCCGACGAAAGTTGCAACGTTAGGGAAAATCCCGACCGGATAACGAAACCTCACATCTCTGGAGCCGCATCGCGCTGCGATGGCCCCGAGGCCCGAACGCTGGCCGAAGATCCTGGCGCCCCCGAAGGTTCCCGCACCCGCCGAGGGGCCCTTTTTGAAAACGGCCCGCCCTCCATCCGTGAAGCTCTTGCAGCTTTTCGTTGGCGAGCTGTGCGCGGCGCTGCTGCGGGAGCCGCCTTCTGAAGACGGCCCGCCGTCCAGCCGTGAAGCTGCCGCAGATTCTAAGCTTCGGGGCCGTGAGCGGTGAGTAGGTCTCGGGCAAAACGCCCGGCCCGCCCTTTCGAACGGGACTTGGGGGTGTGCTGAGGAGGAGTTGTTTGTAAGGAAGATGGATGAAGGAGGAGGAGGAGGAGGAGGAGGAGGAGAGGTGAGGAGGAGGAGGAGGAGGAGGGAGGAGGAGGAGGAGGAGGAGGAGGTGAGGAGGAGGAGGAGGAGGAGGAGGAGGAGGAGGAGGAGGAGGAGGAGATGGAGGAGGTGCGAGGAGGAGGTGTGAGGAGGAGGAGGAGGAGGAGAAGGAGGAGGAGGAGGTGTGAGGAGAAGGAGGGGAAGGAGGAGGTGTGAGGAGAAGGGAGGAGGAGGAGGAGGAGGAGGAGGAGGAGGAGGAGGAGGAGGAGGAGGAGGTGCTCTCCCCCAGAGCGTACGGTTTCACTGTCGGTGCCTGTCGCCGGTCTGGTGGCGATGTCTCGCCGACTCCAGGCCGAGGCTCCCCCCCCCAGGCGCCGTTGCCCCCCTCCCCCTTGGCCCTTGTCCGGATCTCCTCAGGAGAACGAGACGGGGGACGAGCTGGGCGCTTCCAGCGAGGAGTGGCCCGCCGCCTCCTCCTCCGCATCCTCACCTTCCTCGTCCTCCTCCTCTTCCTCCCCGCCTCCCTCCTCCTCTCTCTCCTCCTCTCTCTCCTCCCTCCCTCCCTCCCTCCCGCGAGGAAGAGAGGAGAGAACCGGGGCGGCCTCATCTGTTTGTGTGAGCCTCCTGGTTCTCCCTCGTCGCCATGGCCGAGTTCGCCTTGACAACCAAGATCGCGGTCCAGGACAGGTCCGGGGCCTTCGATGCCGAAGGCCCGTCAGGCCCTCCGCTTCCGCTCCATCCTCCTCGTGAGGCCCTCGGAGGTTTTGCGAGACTCGGGAGCCGTTCATACCGCGCGCCCTTCCGTCGACCCTCGACAGGTGGACGGGTGAGGGCAATGAGTCCCGCTTCGCGTACAGTCGA